ATAATTGAGGTTGAACATGTCTACTATTTGGATGCAAGTATTTGTTCTTGTTAAATCTTTAAATTCTACACCTTCAAATCATTCCACCAGTATGGACAAATCCAGGTAAATCCTAGATTTATGAAATCTATAACACAAGGGGCTGTTTGGCTGGTGCTTTTAATAGGATACATCACCGGATTTGCTAAATTCACACATACACCTAGATGTGGGAGTTTTGTGGATTTACACATTTACAAAATCCAAGTTTGCCTTCCATTTGGATTAGATCGCTGGTTCACTAAATACAGGAGTTTGACGGATTTATGGATTTACATATTTAAGATTTTTACAAAATCCTGTTAATGTTAAATCCTAATTGCAGCCAAACAGCCTCTAAAACTGTTTACTGGATTTAACTTAATTTCAGCCAAAATCCTTTATGAATCAATAGTGCAACCAAAACAACACCTAAATATATTAACTAGTTTCTAGACAGCTCTTTCTTTTCAGCTTTCTTGTTTTCGTTATTGAGAAACTAATGGGGTAAAAAGAAGGTTTTTAACTTGAATTATTTGAATATGTGAAAAAAAAAAAATCTTTGCTTCATTTGAAAAACTCTATTTGCGGTGCTTATGTAATATGAAATTTTATAATTGATTAGGATGGCCGGTTTCATTGCATTTTCAGTCTACATGTGTACAACATTTGCACTTTATGTTCCAGACTGGAACTTTGTCTATAATGATGGAGAAACAGATGGTGGAAAGACATTTACGGTATGTTTCATGGCATGCCTTTGCATGTTCTGAATCTGATAATCACATTTCCTTAAAGCTGCATTCACATACATATTACCCAATTCCCATTTATTTACATATCTAACACCTAAACTTTACTTTTTTACATTTAGACCGCCCAAATATTTCACATGTCATAAAAAATACCTCTATGTTTACTTTTAAAAAGTGAAATACTCATTTTTCATGCATAGCTAAGGTGGAATATATGTAAAATTGAAGTCTAGCTCTTAGATATGTAAATACAAAGGAATTAAGTGGTATGTATGTAAATCTTCCATTAAATTAATATATTAACGATTCATTTTCAGGTCAAATGTGGCAAGAGAGGACAATTAGGTCCTGCTTGTAATGCAGTTGGTTATGTTGATAGGCAAGTCTGGGGTATAAACCATCTCTATTCATGGCCTGTATGGATACGATCTCAGGTATATTTGCAGCCTTCTAAACCTTTTTAAATTTACAAAAATTTGGAGTTAATTTTGCAAGGCATCATTTGCTTGCTTGTCTTTTGGAACTACAGACGTGTACTAATAGTTCTCCATACTCGGGGCCTCTTCGTGATGATGCTCCATCTTGGTGCCTTGGTCCCTTTGAACCGGAGGGCTTGTTAAGGTTTATCTGAATATATTTTTGTATATTAGAATGATTTATGTTTTTTGTTTGTTTTTTCTTATCATTTCAGCTATTTACTTGTTTTGCTTATTTTTGTTTTGTTTCAGTTCAATATCAGCAATCCTTTCAGCAACTGTTGGTGTCCACTATGGACATGTTCTGATTCATTATAGGGTAAAGTCGTAAAATCATTGAATTTTTAGTTTACTAACATAAAGTGATGGTTGTTAAAGGGATCCTGGTATCTTTTATATGTATCAAAAAATTGAAATTAAAAATATGGTGTGTGTGTGTGTAATATATGCAATATATACAAGTTTAAATTGCATTTATTTATGTTTTTTTCTTAAAGCTATAAAGGCATGGAAATAATGCTTTAAATAAAAGCAGAAGATTCTGAAATTGAAAGTTTAACTAGAAGTTGATGGAAATTGACATTATAAAGTTTGGGTATGTAATGAAAATAATAGAAAATTTTGTCAGCTTGATGCAAGGTAAAAAAATTAAAATATATAAAAATTTTGTCAATCAAAATAAATTGCTTGCATGCTAAAATAGAAAGTTGAAAAAAGAGCATTTTACGAAATATGGAAGACTACTATGCAAAAAATTTTCTATATATTTGAAGTTCAAAATGGTGAACTTTTCCACACTCTTGATATCAGAATTCGGGAAGTTTTCTTCATACATACATATTGTTAGTAAAAGAGTATAGCTTGTAAACTTACAAGACTAGGAATTTATACAACATTACAACTCTCAAAATATAGATGATGCTTGCAACTATCAAATAAAATTAAAAGTGAGTGACATTTCGGAGTTAGCCAATAGTATGATATGAATGCTTTTTACTTGTATTATAATGCAGACTGGACACGAATATGGCTCATAGTTTATAGCATGGTTTTAAAAACTGGACAAAACTGATTGGTTCGGCCATTTCAACCATGAACTTGTTCTTTGATTGGTTCAGCCTAGACCCAACACTGCTTCTATAAAAAACTTGTCATAATCGAGGTTGAACATGTCCAGTTTTTACTTTACCAGCTAGTTCTAATATTGATCACTTTTAGTTTTTTTATTTTAATTGAATCGTAAAAAATTAAAATAAATTAATTAAAATGGAGAAAACCTTATGTATTAAATTTTTTATTTTGAATAATAGTAAAATGGTTCATAAATGAAATCTCTTAAATTAAACTATTATATTTTGAATCAATAAAAGTGATATTGTTGCACTATTATTATAGTATTTAAATCATATTAAAATAATTTAAACATTTATTGTATCATCCTATTCAACCCCCATTGATCAGTTAAATCTTGAACCTCTTCTTTTTCTAATTCAATGTTCAGTCCAATTTT